ATCTCAACTTGAAAAGCATAAATTTACATCAAGATCTACTGCCTACACTATTTTTTCTGTTACTTGGTTATCTGTGATTTCAATGTCTTCCTGGCTAACTCATTGAGGAAAACACAATGAAAATGGAGGAAAAATATGGGGGAACTTTTTCTTTTTTGTTTCCATCATATTTATAGTATGCATTGGGTGGGCATTAAGGAAGGCAGAACCTTTTCTTCTGCAAAAGGTTAAAAATGGATAGCTGAGACAAATTGCTTGTATTTTTAATGTTTGCTCTTGCCTGTTTTCTGAAAAATTTATTTGCTTTCTAAGAATTTAAAAATTCCTATCAATATATGAAAATGGTTTATCTGTAAAAATTTCATTTTATGTCAAGCACTAAGTGGCATAACTTGAGCCTATGTATTTCAAAAATATGTATTTAAAATTTAAATTATAATTCATATATGTATCTTTTAATTTTTTTTAATTATTGTTTTTGATAAAATAAAATATAATTTATTTAAGTATACAATAATATTATTTTAAAATGTTATAATTTGATTAGGTTATATGACGTCATTATGGTGCCTCGTAGTTGCTAATGTGGAATTTCATTAATGAACATTTTAATACAATTTTTTTAGGTTTGTAAATTATATTGGAAGAAAATAAACTTTCTAGATTTAAGTGAAAATGATTCCAAGATTAATGGACCAAATAAAATATTTAGCCACGTAACTGGATTCTTACAATTTTTTAGTTTCACATCCTAATTGTTTATTCTTTTCATTGTAGTCCAAAAAACTTGTATTTTGAAATGCCAGCTATGCAGGGGCATTATGGACGGCGAGCGCGCACATAATCACTGCGATCACAGGGTCGGTGTTCTGTCCCTCACGTGGGCCATTGCTCAGGTTGGATGGATCTCCGGCGTCGGCACTCTCCTAGTATTCTCATGCATCACCTTTTATACTTCCCAATCTCTAGGCGGACTGTTACAGATCCCCGATCTCCGAGCGTCGCAAGAGAAATTAATCTTACATGGAAGCTGTCAGAAGCTACTTAGGTAAATAAATTAATTCTCAAACCTGTCTTTCCTCAATTGTGCAACAGTGCAAGTTTTTCCTCCAAAAATTCAACCTTTATCAGGTGGAACCAAGTACAAGGCTTGTGGGTGGGTGCAGTATATTTACCTTTCTGGGATGATCGTCGGCTATACTATCACAGCATCGATAAGCATGGTGTAAGCTACCGTTTTTGCACTGTGATTTCCGGAGGAAGATTGAGAGGAGAAAAGGGATAGATTTATTGATCCAATTACTGGTTTTTTCGGGGCAATACGGGAATCGAATTGCTTCCACAGGAGAGACCATGATGGGGATCCATGCAAGTTTGCGAACAATCCTAACATGATTGCTCTGGGGATTCTTGAAATTTTGGTCTCTCAAACCGAAACTTTCACGAGCTCTCATGGCTCTCCACCGTCGCTGGCTCGCTGCTGTCATGTCTGTTGGGTATGCATTTATCGGTATAGGACCTCGCCTTTGCAAAGGTTGTGTCAGGTAAGTTTTAACGCAATCAATATGTTCGATGTAATTCCCAAGCCACTCCTTGTTCAACAGTTCAAGTAACTAAATATACTGCACAATGACTTTGTCTTTAACGGGAAGAGGTGAAAGAACTTAATTGACGGGAATGGAAGTTGGGGTGGGCTTCAGTGCAGCAGATAAAGTCTGGACGATGCTCAGGGCAGTTGGAGACATGGCATTTGCTTTTGCATATTCTACTGCTTTGATTGAAATCCAAGTAAGAGAAGGCAATGATCATAATAAATGGATACAAATCAAGCCATACTTTAGATTGAATTGAATGTTTATTAGGGTATTTTTCTGTGATATTCCAGGAAACATTGAGGTCTTCACCACCAGAAAACCAAACAATGAAGGAAGCTAACACAATAGGTGTGTCTACAGCAACAACTCTATGCTTGTTTTGCAGTTGTCTGGGTTATGCCGCTTTTGGTGACCGTGCGCTTGGTAACTTCCTCACGGGGTTTGGGTTCTACGAGCCGTTCTGGCTGGTAGACTTGGCCAATGTCTTCATTGTGGTGCATCTCGTTGGAGCATATCAGGGAGCACACATCAAACTACTAACATTCTTGAATTCTCACCTTACAATTTAAACTTGTGGATTTATTGAACCGTTCTCGATAGTCTTGAATTATTTCATTTACAATCAATTTTTTTACCACATGAGAAAATTCTGAAATTAAATCAAAATTTCCAATGTCTGGTATTAGCTCAAACAGTATTCAATGTAGTTGAAGCATGGCTGTACTCGCTGTGGCCTGAATCGAATCTCATAACAAAAGAATACCCAGTAAACATTGACAGGAGAAAGCTCAGTTTCAGCTTATTGAGGCTGGTATGGAGAACATTATTTGTGGTGATGGCAACAGTTCTTGAAATGGCATTGCCTTTCTTCAATGACATCCTTGCTTTCCTTGGGGCAATTGGGTTCTGGCCCATGACCGTGTACTTCCCTGTGGAAATGTTACATTGCTCAGAAGAAAATCAAACGGCAGTCAAAAAGTTGGGTTGGACACTTGGACTCTAGATTCTGAACTCTGTTTGCTTACTGGTTTCAGTTGCAGCAGCTTGTGGGTCTCTTCAGGGGCTGAACCAGGCTCTCAGATCGTCCAAGCCCTTCAAGTTCAACGAGTAGCCCATAATAAGTTGCTAATTTAGCAATTAGAGTACTATTAATAAACAACAATGGTTTAAGTGATTTAGTAATAATTTTTTTATTATAAATAAAAAATTTGAATTTCAATGCATAATATATGAATGAAATAAAATAATAGATGTGATAAAGTTTTCTCTAATTGTATAAGCAAGATTTAAAAAAAAGTACTACTAATAAACAAGTTTAGCAAACCAAAAAAAATTGCACTTAAAGCTACCCCTACCAATAAAAGAAAAAATCATGTGCGTTGTT